CATCCTTTGTATCCCTTCCTACAGTTTTCCCCACTGTATCTTCCTTTCTTCAGTTCTCTTTGTCATGTAGCCATGGACTTGAAGATATCCCATTGGCTATTCAAAAGCATAGGGTTAAGTTGTTGTTAAGTCTTGCTGAAGCTACTTTTTGTTTGCATTTTTAATCTCTGAAGTTACAAACACTGCTGTTGCACTTAGGAAGCTATTCTAGAGTGTTACAACGGGCTACTAATTACTCTATGCAGGAAATAGTTTTAAATAAAGCCACTTCAATAGTACCTAACAATACTGACACTATCTCAGGAAAAAGAAATATAAAACAAAAAAAACAAAACACACAAAGTCTCATACAACAAAAGGAACAACAGTAATGTCTGAGAATGTCAAACTTTGCACACCAGTTGCAAGTCCATTATGCCAACACACTAAGTGTAAAAATATCTTGCCCCAGAGAATTGTTTGTAGATGACTAACCAATTTACACACACATATGGCATCTGCTGTGTGAAATAACAGTTTTTGCCCAATTAAAGCTCTGTTCTTTTAAACTATTCAATCCATGCAACAACAGCTAACAGATAGTAACTTTGACCAAATCTAAGAGATCTGTTTTTATGCTGCACTAAAATAAATATAAATAAATGACTGCCAGGAAAGCAGGAAAATGCATTAAAAATCTAAAAAAGTGTTTTGAAAATATTTGACAGTTTGAAGTTTACAAGTCATGAGTAGCTGGTATACAATACTACCAGTATGGGAATCATGCTGTTACCCATCATGTCAAGTTTTAATTTCATTTTTTGATATTGGATACTGTTTGCTTTCTAAAATACTATAGAAAAAGGGATCTGTTTTTTGTAAGGCATCCCTTACTCCCTATCCATCTCAGGGGTTTCCACAGTCTGAATAAAGTCAAATACAATTCTCTCCTTATCAATCTTTTAAATGAAGAAAAGTAAGAGAGGGGAGATGGATGTACCCTGATATGCTGCTATGCTGAGAGATGGTGCCAAGGCTTTGTAATGATGGGGAACTATGAGCATTGGGAGATGGGGATGGAGCAACTGCGGGGATAAACAGCAGGATAGGCGATTTATTGTGTGTAGTAGAGCACCTCCATTCATGCGTACCCCAATGACCCAGTAGATCATAGCCCTCGGGCTGTCGCACACTATCTGAGTCCATCCTGTTACTCCTGAAGAATGCATCTCTGTGGTGTGTGTGCCTGTGCAGTTCAAAAGTGAAAGCTTCGCCAGAAGAGCAATGAACGGCCTTACTTGCGCAGATCCGATTTTTCAGCCTTCCTGCACCTCTGCCAGGTGCTCTCTGTCTGGCTGTTCTCTGAGTCGGAAATAAAATAGGGCCAAATGGCCTCACTGGCAGACAGACAGAACGCTCCCATTCTTTGTACGACAGGGAGTAAGAAAAGATGTCATCTCGCTTTCCCGCTCATTTCACACACAGGGATCACTGCTGCGATACTAGCAGGAAAGTCTTTCTGAAGTCTTGTGTCACTGTCTCTCCCATTCTAACTATTTTAATAGTGTCTGTCTCTCTCTTTGTCTATTCCTCTTCTCACTCTCAGTTCCCACTCTGTCTTTCCTTTCATTGTATTACCCATTCATCCATAATTTGGATATATATCCCATGTGAATCGCATTTGTATCTGCTAGTATTTTGTAAAGCAACAAGCCAATAAAGAACTTGAAAAAACATTGAGGTTTTGGGACATCAGGATAACACATTTTTTTCTGTTGACCAATTCTCAGTGCAGAATTCAGACCGGAAAAAAAAATAATAAACTTAATTATTTAAACTATCTCTATAGACCTCAATGATGAACCAGGTTAAAATTAGATCAACAGAGTTTCTACTGAAATTGCAGTGTATATAATTTGTTTTCCCTGTAACACATTTTCTATACAGAAGTATAATCATAACCCTTCAGTTGGACTGTGTCTTTCTTTACATTATTCATCCCTTCACACTATCAAGGTTTGATGTTTTGTTTTCTATGTATCGCAGAGTTAACATGGGGTTTAGTGCAGGCCTCATACTTGATGTTAGGTGAAGCTCTGGGATATTTATTTACAGTACTATACTGTGGGGGGAAGGGCAGGCTTTCAGATATGAGCGTTTGACAGATGGCTTGCACGGTTTACTGCCCTACCTCTGAATGTGTGTCAGTCAGTTAGGAACTTGTTGTTTATATGTGGTCCTCTTGAGCTGACCTGTGTCTTTGTACTAGTACTGGGCTGAATATCAACCATATTGTGCCCATAGCACTGAGTAACAGTAATTTTGCACAGAGTGATAAATAATAATTGTGTGTATTTTATAAGCGCTTGTATGGTTGTTTCTGTTAAGAACAATACACCAATGTACATGCCAAGTTTGGCTTATTTTGTAAACAAATATGGTAATACTCAGCAATTTAGGATAATATAAAACTTGAAAAATCGATGCTGTGATGAGGTGACATTTCTAGGCTACTAGTGTCATTAGAAAATGCACTGTTTATGCTAAATTACAGTAGCTCTCTCATACTTATATATGCATCCGCCTTATAATTATAACAAAAACTATAATATGACAAAAATAGAAGTGGTGGGTGTGGGATTTCTTCATGGTAACGCAAGTAAAAAAGGGAATGAAATAAAAACATCAGCACTGCAGACGGATATGTTCCAGTGGCTCGGTGATGAGTGAGATGACCCAGATGAATGAACATTTGCCACAGCGGCGTGTGGATTTGCCACGCAGGATATGAATGAAACTTGAGAGGTTCTGGGGCTATTGACAGTAGTGAAAAACGCCTAATCTAATTGCTACCCATCAAACACACATAGACACACACAGACACCTCCCCCTCCCTGGGGCAAAGAGGCTTTTGGTTTCCCTCCCTGCACATGCTGACCTGATTTTTTTTGTGTGTGTGTGTGTGTGTGTGTGTGTTGTGTGTTTTTGTCTTTGTACCCATGTGTGTTTATGAAGCAGATTAGGATGGTGGCATAGCCAGACATCTCTGTGGCAGTGGTGAGTGTGTCTGTTTGATTGTAGACACGTGTGTCTGTGCATGGGAATGTGGGGCAGTGTGGTAGGAGTTTTTTTTTCCGGAAGAGGAGACCCACATAATGCAACACCCCTCCCCCACTCATTCAAAAGTTGAGTGGATTATTGCTCCAGTATCCTCGCCTTTGTGTCTTTGTGCCTTGATCTACTGTGCAGCAACAATACAGCAGGCATTTCTTAAAACTTAATTAGCATTTGTGAATATTAATTGATGCAACAATAGGTTATTTTTTCAACTGGGATCAAGTCTTCAGACAGTTTTTAGTAACTGCTTTGCTTCCTCGTGCAGATGGGTCACTTTCTGCTAACTGCAGCCGCCATCTGGATCTCAGTAACTTTTCTATTCATAATCTTCCAGTACTAGCCAGATGGATATAACACGCAGGTGCACCACCAACACATGTACACTTGTCACATGGCTGATTGGAATTGAATTAATCTAACAGTGAGTGAAAGGAAACGGCCCTGTGTTCTCCCTCCACTGGTTTTACATGCTGTATATCCTCCATTCACTATTCACAGTATCCTGGCCACCTGCCCAGCACTGGTTTCCCCTTGTCCCCTCGGCGTTGTCTTTTCGTCTGCCCATTTTTTGTTGGCCAGGAATTTTGGCGCCATATCCCCCAAACCCAGTGCCAGCTACAGGTCATGTCATGTTTAAAACTTTTTGGAAATGTTAAAGCTCATTATTCTATTAACTTCTTATTAAGAATGTCCTGTTTGTTCCCCTTTACCCTGTAATATTGGGAGATTTTATGTAACCATTGCAGGACAGATCAAACAAAACACGGTTTTGTATTTAGTTTTGTACCTTTTTGCTGTCTGCTTTGAACAGAGTCAAGTACTTACAATGAAGAGACATCAGATTTGCCATGTGTGATTGAAATTGTCTATCTATTTAGCAGTGTACCACTTGCATAAAGAAAGAGACTCATGTAGCCCTTATGTCTCTCACATGACCATGTGAAAGCATCAAGGCAGCCTTGCCGTGACAAAGTCTCAAGTCACCCTGTAAGCTTTCCAGATTAATCCCTAATGCTCCTCACAGTCAGCAATCATTTAAAAGGACAAAGACATTCAACCCCTGCAGCAGGTGGACATTGTATACATGTATCATTACATATAATACCATTATAGAAGTGCATATGTTCATGTGTGTGACTGTATTTGCTGGTGTGTGTTTCCAGCTACATTTGACTGTCTTCGTTCACTTTACCTGTAATAGAACCGTTAACATTTGTGTTTTTTGTTATTGATAACAAAAGAAGATCCCTGTCATATTTGAACCAGTCAAAGTAAGATAATGGCAATGTACAGAACAATACAGCAAAGTTTGAAACAAACAATATTTAGTCAAACAAAAGATGATATATGCATATGAGATGATAGTTAGGGATGCACAATATTGATTTTGAAAAGAAATTCATAACCTGTAGTTTTTACACACTTGGTGGCAAGAGAGGCTGAGATGTAGTGAACAAAATAACTGAATATTATCATGGACAGATGATTTATCAGCTGTGGTTTAATTACCCAGATAATTCATAATAATATACATTTCCCATTATCAGCCAATAATTTATCTACCAATAATTATTGTGCGTACTTAATGATAATAAAACACATTATAACTTGTGCTTGTATAGTGTATAGAGTGACTGAGAACTATGTTTTACTATATATTTAAATAGGGTTAGGGTTGGGAGTATGGCACTGGGAAGGCGTAGTATTGGTAGAGATGCTTTTATTTGATATCTCCAGCTTTAAGAGCTTTAGGTATTATTAGAAAAGCTACACAATGTGGCAGCTGTTGGCTTTCACAAAGAGTTTTAAGGACTGAATCAGCCCATAGAGGGGCTTGTGAGTGTCCCAAGCCATGTATACTTAAATCTAATCCTATTCTGTCTCTCTGTGTATTCTTTCCCCAGTTGTGTGTGATTCCATGTTCTTCCATGCCTTTTTTGGCATCTAATGGAAGAAAAAGCTCCCATCAGGTCTGCCATGGTATCCAGACTGCCTAAGTTCGGTGGACGCTCCTCCACTGGTGGCACAAGCCCCTTGACCAATGGTTCCACCCAGCCAACCACGCCTACCCAAGATGGTAAGACCACTTCCCCTGGAACACGGCAAAATGGTGTGATCCGTGCCTCTCCTTTTTCACTAAGGTGGAAGAGAGATGAGGGGACCACCCCTTCTAGCTCCACCACCCCCACCAGCCCTGGGGACGGAGGTGAAGACAAAGCTCAGACACAGTTTCCCTCTTTAACAAAAGAGTTAAAGAATGGGTCTCCAGCAACACCCAAGATGCGGCGCTCAGGTTCTTTGATGGTAGCCGTTTCCAGTCCTAAGGCCATCCCCAAGCAGTCCTTGAAGATGAGTCCCAAAGTAGGAACCAAGCAAGGCCAAAGCCAGCTGAATGGAGGTTCTAAAATAACCCATAATGGTTCTAGCATCCCTGCTCGAACAGGTTCAGAGTCTCGCCTTGTGCGGCCAAGGTTAGGCTCCAGCTCTCCCAGAAGCAGCTCTCAAGACAGCCTCTTCCAGTCCAGTGACAGTCTGAAGACCTTGGCACTGGACAACATGGTGCGTTCGAACAGCTTCACTCACTTCAAGCAGATTCCCTCACCCACCAGCCAGCCAATGACACGGTCCTTCTCCTTTAACCGGGCTGTGGAGCTAGCGAAGCCTCTGGCGAACACTCAGCTCCGGCCTCCTCGGAGTAGTTTCCTCAAACCCCCTCAGCTGAGCAATGGAAGAGTGGGTTTAGGACTCGGAAGCCTGAATGGCAACCTTGGCGGTTCAGGAGGTCTTCAGTACAGTAGAACTCCTCCAGCTGCCTCCTCTTTGCCCACCCTCTCGATCCTTCAAGCACCCACTACTCCCAGTGCTCTGAGGAAGCCTCTACTCCCCAGTTGTGTGCTAACCAAGTCATTGAGTAGCAGTGGGGGGTCTTTGGGCTACAGACTGACTCGATCTGGGCAGGCTAAGCAGCAGAAGCCTCTTTTTACAGGTAGGGTCAAGGGGGATATCAGACCTCCAGCTGCCCCTGAATGTGGAGAGCTATTAGGTATAGCAATAGAACCTGGGCCAACTGGGAAGGCTGACAAAGCAGACTCACACAGTGACAGCGATGGAAGCTCTGGAGGTCGAAATGAAGGAGGGAGTGGCGTGCCTAAGCAGAGCTCTGGCCAGGTGGCAGGCGAGACTCTGGAGGACATGTCCTTATCGTCTGCCTCATCTCTAGACAGAGGCGACACCAGTGAAGACTTTCTAGATGACATTTATAGTGTGGGAGATGTGCTCAGTGATGGGGACCTGCCTGACAACAGGAAAACTGACAGCATTACCCAAACCCGGCTTCACAGCTTTCTCAATGAGACCCTTGACTGGGACACTTTGGATCTGGATGGTAAGAAAACTGAATTAAAAGGAAATTCAGCCTTATTTTTGTGTTACATATGTGTCAGTTGCTGTTTATATATCTTGTACAGGACATGAAGAAGAAAGCCCTATGCAGGACTCCCAGGGACCACTGGTATTGTCTTCAGATCAGTGTGATGCCCTACAGGCTTCATCTGTGGAGCTCTCACCCTCCAACAGCTCTGGTGGGACCTACATGTGGGATGAGGATGGTCTTGAGCCCCTTAGGTGTCCTGGGACACATCCATGTGACAGCTGTGATGACTCAGAGCTCAACAGCGTGGTGAGTTCCAGATTCCAGCTGTAATGAATTTTGACATAAATGTGTACAATGTAAAAAACATAACCTTTGTGAATTTCTTAGTCCTAAAATCTTAAAAAGACTTTTTAAAAACTAATTTCCTACTACTTCTTCTTTTTCCTGTTTGGGTTTCAAATGGGTAATCATCTCAAATTCACTTTTATTCAGAACATTTTTTAGACAAAAAAAAAACAACGACATGAACTAAATATGAGATACTAGCTTACTGAATTTGGAGTCGGCCGGATTATTATTCTTTAAAGTAAAAGAGATTATTGATTATTTTGATTGACTAATGCATAGTAAATCAACTAATAGTATAGTACTAAAGTATAATTTATCAATTGTTTATTAAACTGATAAGAAAGTAAGCACTCTTGTTGTAGCGTCTGCCAACAAGCTCTCATGTCCTCCACTCCTTCTTGCTTCATGCCAACTGGCAGATTGCTCTGTAGCATATTCCAACAAGAGAAAGGGGTGGAGAGCAGCCAGAACCCTTTAGTGGTGATACGGTTGCTAAGGCTAAAAACTTCAGAGAACAGTTAAAGCTGTTGCAGCTTTAACAAATTGATAGTTGGCAAAGAACAGACTTGTGTGACTTAGAAGTGGGTTCATTTCGAAGTATAGTCGTTTTTTAAGAGGGGGAAAGTTCAAAGAAATGTTAAGGTTATGACACCTTGAGAGTGGTCTGATACACATTATACAAATGGCATTCTTCTGACATTTCCATGGGCACCGTACAGGCAAGAGTTTCAGTATCAAATGACCAGCTCAAAAGACTGAATTTCTCCACCACAAAATCTAGTACCTAATGTGAATTTATTGTAGTTTTAACTCTACAAAATGGAAATATCCAGTATTATGCAATCTTATCATCCTTCTCTTTGGTCTGTGATTAGAAAAGCAAAAGTCAGTGTTTTCAGTTTTCAAACAGTGGGTGTGTTTGGAAAAGAGATGAAGTGTGTCATACTACATTTTGGCATTAAAATAAAGACTTAAAAATCAAGTATTAAAGGCCCAGTGTGTAAGATTTAGTGGCATGCAGTGGTAAGATTGCAGATTTCAGCCAACTCAACAATTATAATAGGTCCTCCTAAATGTTACACAGTAGCCCTTTAATGTGGATCCTATCTGTTGTGTCATTAAGATCAGTTTCCCTTCATAGGGGGTTGACATTACTCAGCTAATATACCTTGAGGCCATTACCCAGCACCTATACAGTTGTACTTGTAGGCTATAGGCATGCCTCCTGGTTACAACTTCAGGCCCTTTTAGCATTCCACACTGTATGGCCTTAGTCCATTAATCAGTTCCACTTTTAAATAATTCCCCTTTCCTTCTATAATTAGGGATTAAACATGCAGAACAAAGGCTAAAAAGGAAAGTAAAACTGTCTAGAGTTTTCTGTCAGCTCTTACCAGTTTGCTAAGGCGTCTCTCTCACTGAGAAGACCGTTGACCTGGCCACAGACTGTGTGTTAATTGCATCGCTGGCCTTGCTTTGGTCCTCTGTATTCCTGTACCAAGGCACCTGATCTCAGGAATGCGTAAAGAGCTTAAAAGTTGCTAGATTAGAAATTATATAATAAGCTTGGTGTGTTTGCAACTTTTACTATGTGATGTTGACATAACCATATAATAATGTGTTTATCTTATGATAATTGATCTATAGCAACTACCAAAGCAATAATAAAAGGGTGGAGGAGTTTTTATGTGTGTGTGTGTGTGTGTGTGTGTGTGTGTGTGTGTGTGTGTGTGTGTGTGTGTGTGGTGTGGGCGGGCGTGCGGTCGGGCGTGCATGTTTCTTCTGTATGTGTTCGCTGCTCCTGTCAGTACAAGCACACGTGCCTTAGCCATGTGTATCTGATTAGAGTCATTCAGCATGTCTTAAGGAGTGTGTGTGTGTGTGTGTGTTTGTCCATGTTGGATTAGTTGAACTAATGTCATCTTACCACATCTTGACATCATGTGGGCGACTTGTTTGATGTTTTCAAAGTATTGTTGATGTTCCATAATAGCAGACTGGAGACAATGGCTCACGTGAATCTATTAACTTACTGTATATGTATACAGTATTCTAAATAACAATGCTTACATTTTTACATCATTGGATAATAATCAAAGAATTGATTGCAAAGAATTCAAAAGATGCACTTGACATGTTTGACTGCCGTTCTACAGTATATCAGACTATTATTATACTACACAATATTATCACGTAATTCTCTAATAAATAATAGTGCGAAAAGAGAGATGTAAAGCCAAACTCCAAGGTTGTTTAGTGAGAGGATGTGTGTCCTCTGTGAGTGTAACTGGAAGCCGTTGCATCAGCCATTCCCGCCCTTTGCTCATGCAACAAAACCCAACACCATGAGAAATCTGTGGAGAAATGAAACATGTAAAAAGCTAAATCTTCACGTTATCTTATGCTAAGATTAGTCCAGTCAAACCTCTCAGTTATAGCTCCTCTCTCTCTGAACATATGCAGTGTGGGAAGTAACATCTCTAAGTGAGGTACAAATTTCTGGTCAGAGAAGAACGGAATAGTTAAAATCCTTGCTGGGAAAGGTCGGATGCTGGCTGTTGAGTGAGTGGAAGCTACGTAGGAAAAAAAAGAGTAAAGAGGAAAATGATAGAACCAGAAGGAGAAGGAGAGAGACTTAGTGACTGATTGCTCATGTGTGAAGATCAGCTCTATGGGGAATCTGCCTTTGAGATATTTAACTGAGCTATTTGATTAGAGGAAATGAGCCCACTTACAGTAATTGGATGCACTGAGCTCTCTCTATCCCACCCCTTTTTTATGCTATTTCTTCTCCATCTGTTTGTGTCTCTCTCTTACTCATTCTTCCCATGTTCACTGAGTAAATCGTTCCTCATAATGAGCAGAAGAAAAACCACAAATATAATCCTGTCACAAAGCAGTGTCTGTGTCCAAATTCATTAGTAATTCTTTTGGATTCATCCTGCATAATCTATGTGGTCTGTAATGACAAACTTGACGCATCAAACAATGTGTATTACAGTTAGTTAAAGCTTCTTTCTTGGTCTTGTCTCAGGACGTAAAGCATGTGAAAAGCCTCCTGCTCTGAATTAGATGCTATAGAAAAAGAAATATAGGGTAATTAGGCCCAATCTTAATGTCATATAAAGGCTAGGCGTGCAGTCATGGCTCTAAACAAAGAGAGAGAATGCAGCAGATCTTAATAGCATTCATGCAACCCAAACTCTCTCTCCCTGTCTTTGTTTCTTGTTGGTATAAGAGAAGGGATAAGATATTCAGCTCCTAGCAAGTTAATGTTGCTATACTGCAGTGGCATGCTCAGTCCACTTGGTGGCACTCTGGTGGCATCCTTAAGACAACACAATGAGTGTGTGCTTGCAGGTGTTCCTGATTTGTGTGTCCCAGTATTTTTCTGGCCATATATGGCTCTATCTGCATTCTTATGCCTCTGTGCAAAATCAAGGAGTGGGCTACCTGAGCTGATAATAACATTCCCGTGATGCACCATGCAGCTCGGTACAGTACCAGCTTTACAAAATTGGCATTGTGAAATGGAGGGCCTCTTCTCACAGAAACTGTTAATGTTTTCCCAGCCTCAGCGCAATTTATCATGCAATGCAACAAGGCATAATTTATATTTAAGCTGTTAAGTATTTTGGAGAACTTACTGGTTTTGTTTTGTCAGGCAACTCACAAGCAATCATAAATGTGTAGAATAAAGGGAAAGATGAGGCTGAAATGGTTGGAACTCAAAAGTTGATAAATGCTTTGTGCTATCTACAATAATAGTAACACCTGTGCAGTGTACTACAATCAAGTAAAATACCTCTGTGATACATATAACATCTGTGGCGCATATGATGAAGCTGTAGTGTGGATGTAGTTGTTTTGTTGTTGGATTGCTTTATATATTTATGTATAGCTAAGTATAACTAATAATTTGTCCTCCCCCTGTATTTACCTTTCAATACAAGGAGTTACTAAATATTAGCTCTAACTTTGGTACAAGGAAATGAGCATAGACACATCCTTCCAGAATTTTCTTCTAATTATGTGTGTTGTATGCATTGGAGGGTTAATATATTGTTTGTTTGTTTATATTAACATGAATTCAAACTTCATGGTAACATTTAAATGTGTAACTAAAAGAATTAGCTTAATCAAAGTTCAAAGTCAAAATAAGGGTTGCACCGGTTTCCTTAAGAACTGTTTTTTGTCATTATCCATATGTCTGAGTTTCTGTCAATAGAGGAATTATATTTCACCTTTTTCCCAACTGTTCCTCTTTTCTCTTTCGGTTTTCTAACCAAACTCCTAGTGGTTCTGTAATTCTTTGGTTTCTCCCTTTGCTTCCTCAAAGCTGCAGAGTTACAGCTGCTTCTTATGCCTGATTTATTTAATTTCCCTTTAATTTTAGGCTTTTTTTGGAGCCAGGTTGAGACAGGTCAATTCATTAGTGTTTAAATGAGTGAGGTGCTTAAGCCCTTTGTCTGCAGAGTGCTTAGCCATTTATGGAACATGCTGCCAGTGAACTGGCTATGTTGTTGCTGTTGTATTAATAAGGCCTTATAAAACACCTTTGTCTTGATTTCAAATTGACAGCAGCAGCCCTATAAGGTAAACAGGTTTAGTGTGTGTAACTCTTTCACACAAGATACAAGTTTTTTGCTTGTGGTCATTCCCACAATTACATCCTATGCTTCCATCATCATTTGATCATGACTCAATTTAGTTTCCGACCACAGTTGTGACCTGTTATTTTACTTCCGATCATTAACATGCTGTTTTTTAACGACTTTGTCTCTCAACTGACCCTCACATATTGTAAATCTTAAATTAGCTGCTTATTTTGCATCTCCTGTGAACAAGATGAAGGCAATACATATTAGCTTATTGGCAAGATAAAAACAATAATTTTTAACTGCCAAGATTGGGTTAATTGAGAATAATCAGTTTATTGATTATATATATATTACTTG